TTACCAAGAGAGTAACTGAAACAGAATAAGTTAAGAAGTCATAGCGCATACGTCTACTTATATTCCGTGACTCTCAAAGTGTGCAAGAGGTCAAGCTTGCGCAGCCTGTTTTTGAATACTTTGCTATTGGGCGCTTCAGACATGAGACGGCAGAAGCTAGAACCATCTTGCACAACGACAGAAAAGGATATTGAACATCAAGAGTACGCGTCTAGGTGTATAGGCCGTGAGGTTTAAACCCACCAAGAGATTCACTCGTTCGCTGAAGCACCGCTACTTACCGCAGGCATGCTCTTATCTCTTTTCTTAGTATTGCGGGGGGGAAGCCAGAACACTAGACCAACAATTACTCGTCTTTATTGCCAGATACGAGTGAAATATTCAGTCGAGTGCTATACGAGGGATTGCAAGGCATAGGTGGGACCATAACACCTGGTACATCGGTGCCCCACGCCGCGGTCTCCAACCGGTCGCTCCATGCCACAATCGGCGAGAAATCGCGTTAATAACATGTTTAAATCTTTCAATCCTTAATATCTTGTTGCTAAGGGACTCCACGTGCGATGCGTACTCAAGCTGTGCAAGACATATTGTTTTGTAAAATGGCCGCAACAATACGAAAGGGAATCGACCAACTGAGTGTTTAATCATTATCCAATGTAATACAGCGCTAACGCTCACTCTGATAACACTTCAATTATGGAAAGAACAATTTCATTTCGAGTGATAAAGCACACTCCTACTGGATCTTAGCACATGAGTTTGTTGGGCAGAGGTGACGTCGATTTTCAACAACGTACTGGTTGTGATCAGGAGCGCTAACTATGCACTCCGCAATGACTCAGACTTTTGTTCAGATTAAGAGGGATATCCCAAAGAGTCGCCCATTCACTCATTTTCTTTACTGACAATCTGAGCGCTTGCTTTATAATCTCACTGTTCTTGTTGTCATAGCAGCATATATTTTGATATCATCTGCGTATACTTGCACCTGAACATCGCAATGTGTTTTGAGTAGCTGAGGCAGCTCAATGGAGTAATTGATTGTTCATGTTGATTTTCGCCATGGAAAGGCAACGTTGTGAAAGTAGCAGAGAAGTGCATCTATTTGAGGACAACTAGGTGCTCGAAGGAACACAAGAGTGACTTCATTACATTTAAAGGGAACACTGAAACTCACAGCTCGCTGAATATTTTCATTGAGAACGATACCGTTCTGACAATTTGTGAAACAAATATCGCTCGCTAGTGCGTTCTCTCAAACGCTCAACAAAATGGAGCCTTTGAAAAATCAAACTTCTCCAGGAAGTTTACAAAATCTTTCGACGCATCGATGCAGTAAGTAGGAATTCATGAGAGGTGAACAGTTATGGAGTAAGAGCGGCGGAAGGGAAGTTTTGCTTCCAGCCAATACATGCTCTCTATCTGCTGAGCGCTTCCCTCCTGTTATTAACCACACAGCTCCTACCTCCCCTGCTTGTTGGTTGAACGATGACCTGATGTTCTCTGTACACTAATCTGAAAAAAGAATGATAAATAAAAAATTTAAACTCCCTCATCCTTTCAAAACGGTACTGCCATTATGTACGATCCTCGGTTTATCGAAGAATCTTCAACCCAGTGTACGAAAAGGCCGTGAACTGACCTATTACCGAATAATCCGCCGTTTCCCTCGGGTTTGAAATGGGAAAACAAGAGATCCATGTTTTTCAAGCTTTGGGTTATCGGTTGCCACTGAGCCACAAACCGATCGAAGTCAGTAGCAACATTGGCATTTTGATGCCTCTTCTTCTCCTCTTTCAAAATGTATTGTCAGAATGGGTGGATCAGGAGGGCAACAGCTGCCCAATTTGGAATCGCTGTGCTTTCCATTTCAAGCCGGCACGCACAATTAAGTTGCTATGTGACAAAAAGACTCAAAAAGACTTATTCGAGATGGTAGGTAGTGAAAATCCGCCCTGTGCTACCACAATGTACGGGGTGTTTCCTAAAATTAAGAGGGTTTAAAAACTTTGGGAAGCGAGATTTGGGCGCTATTGCAAGATATATGGTCATTGGACTAACAGTGCATTTGAAACTGCATAAAACATATCCTTTTGGCTGAAAAATGCACTCGGCCTTAGGCAAGGGAAGAGTGACTCCAAGGTGGGTGAGCGTTTGCATTTTCTCCGAATTTCCTGCCCCTTCTAAGTTTAGTCCTTAAGGAAGTTCTCGTATAGCGCCGAGAGAGGCTCACTGCACTCTGAAATTTCTCCACCTTTGTCTGAGGCCTGGTCTGTTTTAATACAAAAAAGGAAGTGTATTGCGCAGTCTCAAATGCATAACCAACCCAATGCCCCGTCTTTCGCGATAGCGCGGGTCTGCTCTTCTTCATCTGAATACCTCTGACAGCTTTGTTGGAGGTTGCGCAAAGAAAATTTTCATGATTTGACCAGTGAACACATGAGTGCAAGCCGCGCTTAGTCTACATCTTCAATTCTGTTCCGCTCCTATGATGGCTGGACAACGCCTTCTGCTGATGAGAAGTGACGGTTGATGGTAACCAATTGCAAAAGCACCAACAGCGATCAGCAGGAATGAGAAAACTACCAAGTTCGGTTAGGGTTCCAGTCCACTTATGAAAAAAGGTTGCAGAAAAAGCGACAAGGAACATCGCCCTAGCTACAGCTTGCGGCGAGGCAGTTCTCTTGTAATCAAAGACTGAAGCTGATGAGAAAACAGTAGCTAATATGTTGAAAATTGAAGTAGAAATATCCGCTTGACTCCATGACAACAGAGTCCACGTATTTCTAAATTGGTGCGACTATCAATCTCGGAGCTTATTGACGATCCTACCAATCGTAAAACAGTGATCAGTCTCTTTCCAGAAGCCGCATTTTCTTCTTACTAAGCAATCATGTAGCGGCTAGATGCAATCTGGAGAAGAACCTCAAAATCGCATTCCATTGCCCTTCAGCTCGAAACCGCTGACCTTCTTAAGACACGGCACCGTCTCCTCAATGACGAAAAGTCATCTACAAATAGTGATGATTGGTGTAGTAACGATTGATATTGCGCCAGGTTGTGATGAAGCTAACTCAAAAGTGTGAATAGTGCACAAACTACTGGCGCTCAATATATTGGGTTGTCCCATAATTTCCGGCCGATTATGTTCAAATTCAATTTTTTCATGTAGATTAGCTTCATAACGATATAAGGTGAATGTCGAAGAACTCATCAGGACCTTCAGTCAGGATGCTTCAGAAGCTCAAATGCGCAACGGGATAGTTAGAGAGGATCAAAATAGATCACCAACCGAACTCAGTATATGTCGGTGCCCGAACAAAAAAAAAGCTTGTAAGGAGGTAGGCAAGATCAGCGCTACGTGTCCCAGTCTTTGCTACTGATGTCGTTTTGGTTGACTCACCGAGGAACAATTGCGATTACTATGGAGTACAGCGTGATTTTTCCATATGGAACGGGTGAGCGACAACGGGGACAGTATACCAACTCCAGTGTCATAATTTGTGCGAAATTTATATCGAGCAGAGGTGAAATACCAGTTATACTCGTAAACATACCTAGCAGGCACACTACGCCAGTACCTACTTCCTCCACTTGCCGTTAAAGCGACGATAGAAGCCATCAGGGCAACAATGGCGACATACCATGCAAAACTCTGGCAAAGTTTTTACTCTCACAAAGTTTTTATCACCTCTTACAAAGATTTTTTCCAAACAGAATTTTCCAAAGTAGATACAATGCCTCACATAAGTTTGATGTACGTCTCAAAGACGGATGCTGGACTGCTCAAAATTTATTTTTTTTTTTTTTTTTTTTTTTTTTTTTTTTTTTTTTTTTTTTTTTTTTTTTTTTTTTTTTTTTTTTTTTTTTTTTTTTTTTTTTTTTTTTTTTTTTTTTTTTTTTTTTTTTTTTTTTTTTTTTTTTTTTTTTTTTTTTTTTTTTTTTTTTTTTTTTTTTTTTTTTTTTTTTTTTTTTTTTTTTTTTTTTTTTTTTTTTTTTTTTTTTTTTTTTTTTTTTTTTTTTTTTTTTTTTTTCCTTTTTTTTTTTTTTTTTTTTATTAAAAAAAAAAAGAAGGCCTCAAACAGCGCGACGAAAAATTAGTCAACCGACACTAATCCTGTCTAGAATGAATGAATATTGAAAACCTTCTTACGTTCATTTGTTCGCACTCCGACTTTAGTAAATAGTATGACAGACTGTCCAACTGGCTGTGTCTTCCTTTTAATTCGATTTTTTCAACCAGAACTTGATCGTCGACCAGGGTCTCCTTAAATCTAAAGAGACCCTTTGGTTTCCGCTACCGAGACGATAGCTTTCGCTATCGAAAATTTCACAAAATGCTCAAAAATAGTTAATCAACAGGGGGCATATTACTGGTTTTTTTATACCAGATTAGTCCCCCGTCAACCGCCGGGACCTTCCTTTCCTGCGCAAGCTTTCCTCCTGTGACACCAACACCTGGAAGTGACGCGTATGCAACACAATGGTGTTTCATACAGTAGAAGGGACACAATCATGATATGACGGTAGATTTTTCGCTTCCCTTCCTCATCCTCCCTTCCTCTCTCCACTGCCCTCCAGCTGCCACTGCAGCACCATGTGGAATGAACGGAAGTGTGCTAAGCAGGTGTTTATATAGCCCTAAGAGTGTTATCACAACTATCCTGCTACAAAACATTGATATCTCAAATCCTGTAAGCTACCCGATTTGTTAGCGGTTTGTTTATCCCATGAGCTTCCTTCTCACTCACTTCATTTTGCGGACGGACACACATACATACATACACACACACATCACACACACACATACAGATACACAAACCGACACACAAAGTTAGCGCTTTATAAAATAGAAGGATTTTTATGAACGTAGATTTAAATCCACATGGAGTAAAGCCGACAAGCAAGTGAAACATGTTTTCAACAACAACCACTTGTATTGTGAAACAATATTTTGGTAACAAAAGGGTTTCAGATGAAGTACTAAAAAGAAAAGAAACTAAGAAGGACCGTCAAAAAGGCAAATAAGAATAACACAACTAGTAAACAGAGACGCACACGAATTTGCTGCAAGTAGAATTTCATAGCAGATCTTCATATGACTTTGATTTTTGATATTTTCGTAGGAAAAATGTTGTAGTTTGTAGAAAGTTCTGTAGAAAAGTTTTGGTTTAGAAAAGCAACAGCAATGTGGGGGTCAGCCGAAAAATTGAAAAAAAGGAAGGAGGGAAAAAATAAATTGGATTGGAGGAACATCAGTTTTGTGACGAATTCGTGATCTCTTCCAACGTTTCCCTCTCCATTCACCTATCAATTATGATATCGTCGCTACTCCGCGACCCTCTAGGCTTCGAGCGTCTCCACGATTCCGAACGATGAGACCCCTTCGTTCAAATATTTTGAACGGACGGTTGACCTTGGTGGCAAGATCGCTAGATCAATACCACGTAAAGTTTATAGTTTGCAAAATTATCAGTTGCTCTTACCCTTTCAGAACTGCTCTTTCTTCTCTTTCAAGTGCTAAGTGGTGGACAGGCAACTATAGCAGATCCACTAAGCACTGTTCAGGTCCGGAAAAGCGACTGGCATATTTTGGCAGACGTGGTGCGAAGCTTGTGATCCTTATGCTTCTTTCAATGGCGGAAAATCACCATGTTTGACACTGCTAATCGTGCTCAACGATCGACGCGACCCTCTCTGTCGGCCTGACTTGAGCCGTTTAGGCAGGAACATTTCCGTTTAGAGGTGTGAGACAGCTCGCGTAGCAATACAAATTCAATGGAAAAATAATAGGTCATATTTTTTCCAGTTTGGCCGTTTCTCACGATTTTTTCATTCTCACACCACTGCCCACCTCTGTATTGAATTCTAATGAGCTGCTTTTTCATTTTAAACTGCGCATCAAGCTGACAGGTCGAGAAGGATTGAAGAATCCTGGGTTAATGGATGCCGCGTCTCATAGACGGCTAGCATTTTTTGTAGGCATGTGTTAGTTTTCTTTATTACTTTTCTTCATGTCTCAATCTGTTCAGTTAGGAGCAGAGTATTAAGTAGTGGATTTTCTATTTTAAGTGTCCACGTTGATTCGTCTAGTTCCTTTCAGATTCCTTCAAAGCAGAGACGACGTCGAAGTGCCAGAAGTCTCGAGAGACCAAACAAAGTACCACGAAAGTTTGAAATTTTCTGTCTCTTCTTTAAGAATGAGGCAGATACTGTTGCGGTAACTCACGACACGATTTCGATCCCAGCGCCTTTTGATCAGTCTTATTCCCAAGTGAGAGCTCTGACAAACGTCATTTTTTGCCAACAAGTAACAAGTAAACTTTTGCGACTCACGCGGTTTTATTGTGCTCCTCTCTCAGAAACTTCAGTAGAATCTATTCACAGCAAAAAATTATTCAATCACAGGTCACACCTCACTATTTGCTCTGGCGGTAATGAAGCACTACATCGGCTGAACACTAAACAAAGTTGGCGTTTGAAAATCAGCGATACAATCCGCCATGTTTTCAAAGTTTTGTAAACGAGAGTATATCAGGCAAAGCCTTGAACAATGAATACAATAGATGGAGTGGCTCGAAAACGAGACTCAGGCGAATTTGATGAAAGTTCGATACAATAAAGCGTGGTTGTCCGAGGGGTAGGGTGCTTTCCATTTTACCTGCCCATAAAAGGCATGGACAGTGAGCGGAATTTGTTACAATCAAAATGCTGGCCGCTCTCGTAGTGCTGTCCTTTTTCTGGTGAACGCTAACGCTAGTAAGTGTTGTTGCTATATATGACCGTATTAGTAAGTGAAGCCCGGAGCCATGTCTTCTGCTTACGGTTACGTACACCACGACGGACAGTTGTTTCAGAGCAAGAAATTTTCAGGCCAGGAATGCCTTTCTAGAGAGAAACTGAAGGACATGATTGAGAAGAAGGTCACGAACAGCTATATGGTTGGTTTTCTCTCACTGTTCATAGCTATTATAGAAGGTGGAGATAGACGCCAGCATGTGGCATCAAGGGCATAATCGTGGACCGAATTCTACCGTTACCGTTATTCTAAGGTGGCTTAGCGCCTGTGCTCCATGTTTGATTAATTACAAAAAAGATCTGTTAACATGTAAGAGGACGAATACGTTAGGTTACATTTTGGCTCACCAACACAGCTTATTTCGTAGTCTAAGTGCGCATTCACATGCTCACTGGAAATTTGAAGATGATTTGGTAGCGTACAATATTTCAAAAAGTATTATTAATTTTGAAGAGCTCTTATTACAGAGATGGAATGATGAGATAGCCGAAAAAGCTCAGCATTAACCAATATCAACCACATTATGAAATGCTGTATTCCTCGATGTCATTCAGAGATGGCAGCACCGATAGGGAACAGGAAGCACTTCGAACGCTTGGGGGAAACAGGGTGCTTTACAAAAATGCAAGTTGACCACTACTTCTTTCAACTCCCCTTCCTATGCATATTATTTATTAAATCAGCCTTCGTATGCATATTAACTGTTGTCACTCAGTCGAGCAGACGAAGGATTGAACGAGTGCAACACCGTTACCAACAATTAGGGGTACAGTCGATATCCGAAAGTTGGGGTAGGTGTGTCACCGGAAGTGACGTGCACTTGATAGAAGTTGCGTGGATAAGCTGTTGCCAGCATGCTTTGCTGATATCCAGCGATGTATGCTGGAAGCAGCTTATCCACGCAGCTTCTATCAAGTGCACGTCACTTCCGGTGACACGCCTACCCCAACTTTCGGATATCGAGTATATTTCGAGAGGCTCAAAATTGCCTGAAGGAGTATGGCGTTTGCTACTCTTTGGTTCCTCCACTTGCAGTTGCCGTTTGCGGCGGATAACAAGTTTGCGGGGCATGTTCGGCACTGCACTGACGTTCGTTCCTATGTTGACACCTCGTTTTCAGCCGAAGGTAGTCATGGACAAATTCCGCCTCATTGATTTCGTTTAGCCTTCCAAACCTGCGGACTACGGGTGCGGCTGTGAGTACACGCAGAGAAGGAGATATCACTACGTGTCGATTATTTGCTTCTACGAAGAAAAAGAGTCAAATTCTACCACCTGAATACTAGATGATACTTTTTTCCGATTTGCATATGTGCAATGGAACTCTGCATAAATTTTCACTGGAGCAAATACTGATGTGATAATGAACTTTAGCGCATTTGGCATGGATGTGGGCGAACACCAAGCTATGTTCCCTCAAGCTTTCAAAACTGGAAAGGGCTCTAAAAAGGTGACTAATTGAAAGGACTGCCTCTTCGGACTAGAGGTTCAAACTCCAATTGAGGAATCTGCTCCTATTTGCCAACCTGCCCTCCAGTTACATTAAATCCCGGAAAGAAACCCAAGTGGTACGTATTTTCTAGAAAGATGTGCTTTTATTTATGACCTTAAACCGATTTAACAAACGGAACAAATAGAGTTTGCGAGGTTCCAAGCTCCAGCCCTCCGTATCGTTCATATTGCACAACTTATACATAGGTGTATTATCTTTCAAACTGCCTTCAATACAGCAAATTCTTTGAGTAAAGAACTCTCGCAATTGGAAGACTCAATAACCAGCATACCCTTGAAACTGACCCAAGCCGTACATCCTGCTTACTATGAAGCGCTTCGTCTGTCGTCTGTCTGTCGTTCTGTATGTCTCCCGTGGGCGATGGCGTTCTCCAAAAAAGCAGTGCTTTATGAAAAATTTCATAACTCGGTTGGGAGAAAGCCTACAGAGCAGAAAACAAATTGGTGTAGGGGAGCAATGTCTAAGGTGTTCCCAGCATACATGACGTGGGCGGAGGCCCGCCCACAATGGGCGGAGCGCGCTCTGAAGTGTACAGCATTTTCTACAAGTCCTCATAATTCGGGCCGGAGAAGTCTTAGTGAGCCGGAAAAAGGTGGATAGAGAGGAGGAGTGGAGGCCAACTGTCATTGGTGGGCGGGGCATGACCAAAGTGGGCGGAGTTTGCCAAAAGGGTCGGCGCTCAGCAGCTAGAGGTCGTGCGTTGGCTAAAATAAAGCAAAATTTTCCTTCTGCCGCTCACAATCATTGGGCGCACAACACAGATCTGCGGCGAAAATTTTCAAATTTGGCTTGATACACCACGAATATCTGAATTCTCAGCTAAATTCTATCCGCTCCATCATCGACGGCTTTCAACCTCTTTTTCTTCGTCAACCATTATCCTCTTTTTCTCTCCGGACTGCTTCCGGACAATAAATCTCGTGGCAAACTCCGCCTACTTCGGTGCGTGCCCCGCCCACCAATAGCATTTGGCCCCCTTCCTTTCGCCGACCTCTACCCCTTTTTTCCCGGTCTCTGGGACCTTCTTGGAACCGAAATTACGACACTTTTGGCAAACTCCGCCCACTTTGGTCAAGCCCCGCCCACCGATGACAGCTGGCCTCCACTCCTCCCCCACCTCCATCCACCTTTTTCCCGGCCTCCGGGACTTCTTGGAACCGAGTTATGAATTTTCGTCGCAAACTCCGCCCACTTTGGTCATGCCCCGCCCACCAATGACAGTTGGCCTCCACTCCTCCACCCACCTCTATCCACCTTTTCCCAGCCTCCGGGACTTCTTGGAGCCGAGTTATGAATTTTCGTCGCAAACTCCGCCCACTTTGGTCATGCCCCGCCCACCAATGACAGTTGGCCTCCACTCCTCCACCCACCTCTATCCACCTTTTTCCGGCTCACTAAGACTTCTCCGGCCCGAATTATGAGGACTTGTAGAAAATGCTGTACACTTCAGAGCGCGCTCCGCCCATTGTGGGCCTCCGCCCACGTCATGTATGCTGGGAACACCTTAGACATTGCTCCCTACACCAATTTGTTTTCTGCTCTGTAGGCTTTCTCCCAACCGAGTTATGAAATTTTTCATAAAGCACTGCTTTTTTGGAGAACGCCCCGCCCACCGGGGTGGGTCTCCCTAATTCGAATGTGTGT